TTAAACAGGTGTTAAAACTTCTGCAATCCTCCGATTTTGCTGTCTTTCCTAGTTAGTACTGATCTTTTTCTTGTCTGTTCTACATATTGGATTGATGTTATCTGTCACAGTGATATCACTTTTAGAATTCCCATTTATTTTATCAGCTCACGGGCTCTTGGTCTTTATTGCCTTCAGTGATTTGTAACACTGCTAGTGTGAGTTCTTGTCTGACTGAAGCTGCTCCTTGTGCCCTAGACCAAGGAACATTCCTAGTGGACATTGTATTTGTGTCTGTCTGAGCTCCCTCTGCTTTCACCAGCCAGATCAGTGGTTGTCTTGACGTAAAGGATTCCTGCACCTTGGAGGAGGCTGGCTGGGGACCCCACACTCAAGCCTGGTATACAGGTATAGGGGGCCCAGTCCCTCTGGGTGGCTTTTTGTAACATGCCCCATAGAAGGGAGGTTCCAGTTTCCCTGCCTCACCAAGGAAGGGTGGAGCCAAGCACTGAAGAGCTAGAGCAGAAGGACTTGGGAGAAGGAAGAAGACAACTTCAACAAGGCACGTGGGACAGAGGTACAAGTCAAGGTGAAGTTGTGCTTCCTTCTTGGTGTTGGCCTTATACCAGGGACTTGGGGGACATGGAAGCAGGCATTTGAAAGACAAAGATGAGTGTGAGAGACCCATGGTGGAGGCTAACAATGGCAGCCTTTCTCTTGACTTATATTTTGATTTTGCACTTTTCCTTCCAGACTTGCCTGGCCCCTTAACTGTGGCTTCACATCAGAAGGTATGTTAGATTTGTGGCAAGGTTTAGTCCAACCCAACATGGTTGGGTGTTTACCCAGGAGGAGGTGGGTAACTGGGTGTTTCACCGGGAAGCTATTTTAATTATATCGCTTCTCTTCCTTTCTCTCTATTGCACATATTGTATTCAAGATTCTTATTTTAGGTAGTAGCACTAGAGTATGACTGTTTGGAACAGAAACCATTTAGAGCAGGGTAAGGGATTCTGGGGTGCCCTTCATTCTGATTACATGCATTTTCACAGCTGACTTTAGGTAAATGTATGACAAGTCCTTGCTGCTCCCCCCAGAAGCAGCCCTGGGTGACTGCTTAGAAACACTTAGCTTTGGTTACTTACAAGGTAACTATATAACAGGTTTGTGTTTAAAATGATTGAAGCGGACAGTTTAGAAGATCCAGACTTCATATAGCAGAAAGTCGCCATGCAAACAACTGGAAAATGGGGCTGAAAGCAGTAATCTTTTTAGGATAAAAATAATGACGATGAGAAAAATGGAAAATATCTGATTAGCTGGGACTACAGAGGAAACCTTGTTTGGGGTGAGAAAGAATAAAGAAATAAGTATACAGCCAAAGTTAGCCTGGCTTTTGGGAATTGGTAGGCTGAATATACTGACTCTCATCTATGAGCAGAGTACTTATAGAAACAAAAGGTTCCTAGATTCAGTTTGCTATGTGGCATCCTGGCAGAATGGACTCCTTTTCAGGTTAAGACGTTTATTTAAACACACACCATATTTTCCATCCATTTAAAAATCTCCCCCTTACATTCTAATTCCTACTATTTAGCCAGTAGCTGTCAATGCAGTTATCTCTGTCTTCCCTGAGTCACTTGTCCGTGGAATTTGGTATAATAATGGCAGTCCAACAATTAGAGGCAGAGAATTCTGGAACTCTTGATGATGTCCACCCTCAAAATAAGCAGGGGTACAAGGCAACGCTAACAGTAAGTAACTTATAAGTATGAATAACTTAGAAGGGGATTTAAGAATATTAATGATGCTGATAATAGAAACTGATATGTATTGCATCATGTTAACCTAATTTCTTTTTGCATTGATGATATTTCAAAATAACCCTCCTATGACGTAGGTACTATTACCCGCAGTTTACAGATCCGGTAAGAGGCAGGTTGTGTGAAAATACCCTTCTCAACATCATACAAAAAGTGAAAGTAACAGAGACAGTGGGGAAAAAAAATGTCATTGGCCCTCCCCCTCCCTGGTGGCGCAGTGGGTTAAAGCACTGCACTAAGAAACTAAAGCCACTTCCGCATGAGTTCGATTCCCGCCTGCCCCGGAGGCGACCACATGGCGAGGCAGACCTCTCCTGACCCGCCCGCTGCTCCCCTCAGCAGTGTACTTCATCGATCTTCCTGTTCTGTTTCCCGCTCTATCTCTGGTGAATCCTCTCACCTTCCGCATCTCTGGCCTGTACCCCAGTTCTGTACGAATAAATATAATAAATCTTAAAAAAAAAATGTCATGGAGCTGCTTTGCTTATTTATTGTGCTCCAATAATGCAATTCTGCCACAGTACCTTTAGTCTCCATGTCTCTTCATTCCCAATTTCAAATCCCACAAGAACACACCTACTAGATCTAGCTTTGTTCTGTCCCTGGTAAATTCATGAACTATCAGGGAGCACAGTAATGGAATGTAGATACGGTCACCCTGTGTGTGAAGGGCACCGCCTAGAAATGCCCCCATGAGTGTAAGTGGGAGCCAAATCAGGTGGTGCTTACTCCATGATCTAGCATGTAAGCAGTTATCATATGCCGTACATGTGCAGTTTTCTGTTGAGACACAGCCAAAGAATAAGAATCACGTATACTGTGAGGTTTTTATTTTGGTTTCTCTGGAGTGTGTAGGTATAGTGACTGAACTGGGGATCATCTATGATCTTGTTTTATGTAACATGGAAAAAATTCCCAGCAGAAGCATTAAAGACTACTAGTTCTGTCAGCATGCTATTTTAGGTATTCAGAATGAGCCACCTGATTAAAAAAAAAAATACTGGTTAAAAAAAATCAAACACATTAATGAGCAAGGAGAATTGAAGGAATTCACAGAGAAAAAGGAAGGCAAAAAAAGAAAACATCGTTTTGAGAAATAAGGACAGGTCAAAGTTAAAACATAAAACTCCTCCTTCGGTGTTCAGTGGTTGTACAGCATGCGAAAGTGAGAAAATAAAATCAAACAAGAAGTCGAATAGGAGACTTACATCAGAAGTCCCAAAAGGCCACATTCTTAGTGTGAGGGTAAATGAGAAGTAAAACTGATGTACAAGTCAGTAAGGAAACAAGGCTATCTTGACTTTGCCCCCTAAAAGGAAGAAAAAAAATCTCCCCTGAGAATCTATAAAGCCATGTGGATTTGACTTCCAGTTGCAATCTGTCGGTACAATCCAATAAAATGCCAGTGGAAAATTTAATCTGGTCCTAGGGTTGATGATGCCTCCAAGCAACTTGCAGAAGCAATTTCTAATACCTTGTACAAAAACTCAATTTTAACTCTGGTTTCAAAAATCCCAACACTTAGAACTCTAGAAACATGAGTGCAGAGTCCAAAAATCACAGCCCACAAGGAAACAGGCATGATGACTAACAGACAAGCACAGAGACCCATTTCATTTTCAGCATTGGATTTAACAGACTTGGAGTATAGGAGATTAGAAAATGGCATTAAATGGAAAGCAAACAGAATTCCTAAAATTGTAAATTATTTGAAAATTTAAGGGACACCATATGAAAAGGTTGAGGGGAAGTCGAGAATAAAGTGAGAATGTCTTCAAGTGTATTTTACATGTTCTGAGAGATAATGAACATGGAAGATGAGCAACACTAAAGAGAAAACAGACAATACATTTCTACAATTATTACAATATAACAATCCTGAGATGTAGGAATCCTTTCAAATCCCGAACATAGGTTTTAAAACTTGGAAAGGAAGCAGACAGGGAGTGAGAGAAGGAATGCATTCTGATTGAGATTCATCGCTGTGAGCTTGCAAAAATTTTATAGGTCTAACACGTAATCATAAAGGCAGAAAGGGAGGGTGGGAGGCAAACAGTAAGGAGAATGAAAGACACTAGGTTTTAGATAAAAGTACAGAAAAAAATAGTTCTCATTAGGAATGAGGTAAGTTTGCTTTGTGATTCATCAATAAGACAGGGGATATCCCGCTTAAAAGCAGTAAGTCCTGAGAGTGAGAAAATGTAACGGAGGAGAAAGCAGGAGATACAAATGCAGAAAGTGTTCCGTTCCAATCTAAAAAAATAGAACAGTAAGTCATGAACTAAAGACAGTTTTCTTTGAACAAAGGAAGAGAGTTAAGACGGGTGGCAAATAACAGTATCCAGCAATTACCGAGCGCAAATGGTTAAGAAAACCTGAGCAGTGAAGGACTAAAAATATTATGGGAGAACATTTGCAGGGGAGTCAAAAGGTAGGAAAAAGACAATGCTCAGGACTAGACATCTAATACATACTACTTAGTAAATAATACAACTTATTGCTGACGCAGCTCTTTAGCTATTAAGGCTACCTCCGTTAATTCTGGTCGCTCTTTGAGGGGAGGGTTATATAGATCATTAGGATGGCGAAGAGACGGACAGCAGTCCAGAATATAGAAGTCCATGTGTACGCCTTTTAATACGGAAAGCACATATCCGCTCCATATTTTTAGTATAAACTATTTTAGTGACACGGAAGCCAACCAGATGTCCCTAGCATGTTGAAGCGTGGATATTGTAGCTAAATTCCCACAGAGTTCTGTTCCAAACAATCCAAATTGCCGAACTTTGCCGATTATTCTAGCGTTAGAACCTTTACCATTTGCCTAGCTCTACTTGAAATCCATGACTCATAAACGCGGGGACATGGAATCACAGCGGCCAAGAACAGGTGAAAAGTTGTTCCTAGTTATGTTATGCAGGCGCACACAACTCCCGTCATCCCCCGTGCAAAAATCAACAAATAAACAGAGGCACCGCATTTCAGATTCTTTTGCGCACCGTTCGCAAGGGCGCCCGGTTTTTGTAGTTTCCACGCGCAGAACTGCCACCGTGTCAATGCTCTCCGCAGAGGAAATGAAACTACACTTCCCACAAAGGCGCGGGGGCGAGGTCCGGTCGGCTGACGTCATTGGCTCCGTCAACCAATGACAGCTCCGGGCGGCAGTGAGGCAAGCGCCGTCAGGCGCCAAAGTGGTTTTTTTTTTTCTTTTCTTTTTTTTTTTTCCGCCGAAGCTGAGCGGGTGCTGCTAGCGGAGGCGCCATATTGGAAGGGACAAAACTCCGGCGACAGCGAGTGACACAAATAAACCCCTGGACCCCCTCGTCCCCCCAGCTCTAAGGGCCGCGATGTTGTACCTAGAGGACTATCTGGAAAGTGAGTGGGCGGCGCTGGCGGTGGCCGTCTGTGGGACCTCGGGCTGGCGAGAGCGCGAGTGGACGGGCAAGCGGGATGGCGGGAGGGAGGGGGAGGCGGGGGATGTTTCTTTCTCACGGTAACTGGCAGCCTCGCTGTGGGCTGCCGGCTCCCTCGACCCCCCCCCGACGCACGCACGCACGCACTCAGCGACGTAGGCGCGTACTTTCGCCGTTGGCCCCGCCCCTCTGACGAACTCTCCCTTTGACAGTGATTGAGCAGCTTCCTATGGATCTGCGGGACCGCTTCACGGAGATGCGCGAGATGGACCTGCAGGTGCAGAGTAAGTCCGCGCGTTTGCCCTTGTTGGTTGTGCGTGGTCAGTGCCAGACTTGCTTGCCAGCCATGCCATCGCCTCCTGCTCTTTGCCTCTCCTCCGGCTCACTCGCCAGTACCTATGGAGTTACTAAGGAGACCCGGCAATGCCGAATCTTGCCTCTTAGTGCCTCTCCACGCTACTTTTTCCCTTTGCTTGATCAAAGGAGGCGGCATAGGGGGCATTGTTTTTTTTTTTCTCGAATTTGGGACAGTGCAAAAAAAGTTTCTTACCTTCATTGACAGTGTAGATCTGCTTTATTGCACGTCGGTACAAGTGTTGATAAGATTTTGACTTCTTTATGCAACATAGATTTCAACATGTGTAATTTTGTTAAAGTTTATTCAAACGTCAAGGCCGGAAAAGACCTGGAAGCACAGATTATATATGGTTTAGACTCTAGTGAACTTGGAATGTCAAGTTTTGAAAAGGTACACTTCAGAGGATGCATTCTCAATTGTCAAAAGCATGTTTTTTTTTTCTCAATTAAATGAGGAAGGACAGTAAGATTTTGCAGTAAAGTAATAATAATAAAAATTTTGATTTTTCTCTCCATGGGAGTTTGGTAGTTCAGTGACTTATTCCCAAAATTAATCTTGCTCTTTCATGAAGCAGTATTTAGTTTAGATGACCAGATTTTGTGAAGTTTCCTTAAACATTTTATGATATAGAAAAAGTAAACAATTTGAGCTTTGGTGAGAAGGTAAATACTTAAAAGCAAAATTATACTTACAAAATAAAAAAAAAAGCAAAACACTGAGCACTAATTTATGTTTATCATATTCTGAAAGAACTTTACAAGCCTTCCCTCTTTGTGAAATGATTATATTGTAGCTGTTGCAACTATCTTGAAGAGATACTATATTTAAAATTAAGAATGTGAAATAAATTATAGGATACATAATTAAAATGTGTAATAAAGTGAAACCCTGTTGCCTGTGTGTCTCTTTCGTTTTAAAGAAATGCAGTTAATTAAATTGTTTAATTATATCATGACTGACCTTCATTGTGTATATCCTCAGAATATATGTTCTTTAATCCCATGCGTCCCAGATATGGTTAGGCTTTATATAAAATGTTTCTCCTGCTGACAGTAAGTGGAGAAAGATCTGGGTTTTGAGATGTGATAGGAAGGAGAAGAATGTCATGGAAGGAGATCAGAGAACCAAACAATCCAGAGGGTGAGAGTTTTCAGGTAATTTGAGGTGCTTCTCACTATCATCTCCCAGAAACTTTCATACTTATTATTCATGAATATACGTTGTTACCAGGTTCATGTAGTGCCTGATAAAAGGTTAAATCAGGCATGGAAGCCACCTTTTAGTCAGTGAATTATGAAATGGAAGTGTAAATGATGTTTTTACATCTAGTTCATAGAATTCGTTTTAATTTTAATTTTAATGTAGTTGAAATAGTCTGGATTTGCTCAAACAGTGTTTTCTACAGGATTGAGCATAGATCTTTATGTGAAATAGATACGAATTCATTTTAGGTCTTTTACCAACTTAGACATTGATCATGAGTACACTACCACTTCTGAGGGCTTCATTGTCTGAGAGTTAAAAATGATAAATTAGAATGGATAGTACCTGATACAAGGTAGGCATTCAAACAGTTTTTATGTTATACTTTTTCCTTATCATTACAATGTAGAATTCTCATAATTTGGACAAATACACACTGCTTACAATAAATAACATTTTCTAAAATTAATAGTATTTTAGATGAACATGACTTTTATTGCCAAATAAGTTGGAGATGCTTCTTTATAGAAGAAAAATCCTTAAAAAAAGTTAATAGTAAGACTCATCAGAATTTTCAAAGTGTTATTATCCACTGAAACATTCTTGAAGAAATTTTCCTTAATTTGTGTATGAAAGAATCCCTTTAATTTTTCAATTTTTGGAGATAAGGAATGAGGTGACTCTTGTCATATTTCAAAAAAATCTGTGCAGCATAATCGTGTATTAAATGGGTAAATGATTGTACTTACTGCTTTTACTGATGATACAAGAGGATGGAGAACTAAGCACCATATCACAAGAAATTAAAATATTTAACACTTTTTCTTATTAAAAGAAACAAGGATTATCTTGGGGTACTTTCAATAAATGCTGTTTTATCATGTTTGACTGATTTATTACCATTAGCTTTTGTTCCCAAAGTTGAACTATTGAAAAATTATGGTATAGAACCTATTTGTTGGCTGCTTTGAATGTTGGGAAAAAAAAAAAAAGAAAGAATGACAACAAAAATAGGGAGTCAGGAAAATTATAATTTTTTTTTTTAAATAAGGTAGTTTAGACATGTTATGTCCACAGTCAAAGTATGACCTACTTAAGTAACTGGCCAGGTGGGGACATTATGTTTTCAGACATACTTTTCTTGCCCCAAATCAAAGCATGTGTTTTCAGTCAGTGTATGGATCTGGTCATCTAAATGTGAAATGTTTTTATCATGTCATAGATGCAATGGATCAATTAGAACAAAGAGTCAGTGAATTCTTTTTGAATGCAAAGAAAAATAAACCGGAGTGGAGAGAAGAACAAATGGCATCCATCAAAAAAGTATGTTCAACTCTGAATGATATATCAGTAAACTCTGGAACCTTCTGAGAAAGGCATTTTAAAATGAAATTATTTTCTTGATATGTAGTTACTAATGATGCTGGAATTTATTGTGTTTTGGAGCCTCAAGTCTAAGAATTTTTAATCATTGAAGCATTTTGATAGTTTAAAAATTGCTTCATTAATTTCTCTTAGTGGATAGTGAAAAAGTACACATTTTTCTTTTTAACTTGTTTTGTTCTACTTAAATAGATGGTTCAAGTTGTATTTTAGAAATTTTATACTGTAATTTGGGTTACAAACTGGGATGAAAATAGCTCACTTTGAAGCATATTTTATGTATGTAAGTTAGTAGAATCATGGAGGAACAAAGTCTTAAGAGTGGAAGGGACTTTTCTGAAGGAATGTTTTAGTTTGAAAATCTGAATTTGTCCATAAATTAGGCTACCATATGAAATACTTTGGATTTTTTATGAGTGTTACAGAACTTACAGCTTTCTTAAAGATTAGAATGCTGATCTTGAATGCTGATCCTCATTAGGTTTGCTTAAAACTCGGATTTAGTTCATTTAGGGATACATTGGAGAACTTCAAAGACCCATGTTCGGTCATGTGTGACACCGGGTATAATCTATCTCTGAGTAGTGATGGTTCCTCATCTCCTACCTTCATAGACTTGTTGAAGGATGGACTGTGAAAGAAATTTGGCAGGGTTAGAGTAGTTATATTATTTATTTTAATACATAGGGAGATTATTTCTATTAAGGGGAAAAACCTTCAAGGTCTGAGCTGAATTAGTCCTGCCTTAGAGGATACAGGCAGTCCAGATGCGCTGAGTTTCAACATTGCGCATGTGCATCCCAGAGTCACTCCTTTACTCTCTTATATTATAGCACAGCGTGGCTATGCTCTGAAAAGGCTGTATTCCATGGAAACTCATAGGATCCTTTTGTTTGTTTTTAACTGGTTTGTTTTAGACTGAGTAGAAATATGTTGACTGAGTTGTATGAGATGATGTCTATGTTAAAATGAGGGTTACAGAACAATTTTTGGAAACTAGTAACATGCAGGTCAGAATCCTTTCAGTAGTTACATTGCTATAAAAACAAGTTTTAAAAATAAGGGGTATAAGTTTAAATGAGATAAATCTTAACTTTTTTTTAAAGAAAAAGTTATTCATTATCTCATAACTTTTACTAGTGTAGAGACACAGTGTAGAATGGTATTTGTTTTTACTTACATTATTTCTAGGAAACCTGAAATAATAAGAAACTCTTCCTATAATGCTTGGCCATTTTTCCATAGTTTATAATTCTACCTCATCTCTACCTTATCCCTAATTGGGTTTTTATTGCTAATGCAGGTTGACTGACAGTGATAACAAGGTATGGCAAATATGCTGTTACATGTCCTAGATACAAATATTTTAAAACTTTCACTTATTCTTGAAATGAAAATGTTTTTCTTCAGGACTACTATAAAGCTTTGGAAGATGCAGATGAGAAGGTACAGTTGGCAAACCAGATATATGACTTGGTAAGTACAATTAATGTGCTGTACATTTTAGTCAAGTCTACATGTTTGAAATATTGTAACCTATTTTAGATTGAGATTGTAACTTATGTAAGATTGTTAGACTTACTCTTAAGGTAGTATATTTACTTGCCTGTTAAATTGTCTAGAGATTTCTCTTTTTTTGGAGTAAAATACAGATAAATGTACTATTTTGACAAGAATTCAGGATAGTCTGACTAAAATGGAGAATCATTTGAATTGGTCTTAACAGACAGTATTCAACTATTAAGTGATAATTCAATAGCTAGCACAGGTGACAAAAATGTTTGGGAAACACAAGGTAAAATAAATGTTCATAATAGTTCTTTTTTGCAGCCGCAACAGTACTTAAAGATTGAAATCACCAAGAAGACAGCTAAATGCAGTGCTTCTTAAATTGTTATAATTATGGTGCTCTTTTATTTTATGTAAAAGCATCTTCTAAAAATATGCCTTGCGAAATCCTCATTTCTAGTTTTACCTCAAAGCAAATTAAAGCTCAAAATAAATGCTCATTTATTCACTGTTGCTTAATTTTAGCATATAGTTTTGATACCCCTTTTTTGTAGTCTTGTCTGGATATAATTTTGTTACTGAACATGTGACTATCAATGGTTCCAATGAGCAAGACACAGGGTCCATTTGGAAATGCTGTACTAGACTAACAAACATTTGTCAAGTAAAGTTATAGAAAATGTTTAGTGTTTTTTTAATATGGTAGAGTATTTTAATGGCTGTAATAACCCTACTTTCTTTTGTTCATATAATTATTCTGAAACAGTTTTGTATAGACACTGCCTAAAGAAAGGTAGAGTAGGCTGTTGTCTAATAATGTGCAATGAGGGGGAAAAAGAAAACCCAGTTCTTCATTGTTTTTGTCATTAGTTGTGTCTATAAACAGAAAAAGACATTTATTTGAACCTGCAGTCCCATGCTCTACTGTCTGAGCTAGAAGACATTTATTTGAATCCGGGACCATTTAGTTTAGTAATATTCTTTTTCACATTTAATGACTACTAGTACTACTTTTAAAAATCATATAACCCTTTGGTTCTATTTTTTGTTTTTATTTTGTTATTTTTGAACTGTTTACATCTTAAGAAAATAACTATTTTAGAAAAAATAGCTTAAACAAGACATTTTTAGTGTGTGTATGTATCTATCTGCTCTCTACCATACTGTTCATCCACTCTCTGCTACCAATAATGGAGTTGTACTAAGGTATAATGTGTAAATGCTACATAGTTTCTGTTCTCAATGTGTCTGAAAACCAGTTGGAACATGGTGCCCCTTAAGTAAAGAGAATTTGTAGAAACATGTAACAAATAGAGATTAATGCATTTGAGCATTAAGGGGTGTCTAGTTGAAGATTGAAATAAGTCTTGCAGTGTGGTTGAATTATTTGGGGTTATAAGTTGACTTTTGAACAGAATTTATTCACAGGTTCAGTGACCTGGACTTAGGTATTGCGTTGAGGGGAAAACATTTCATTTAGAGATAATGGCTACATGGAATGGAAGTATAAATTAGTGAAATCTTTAAGAGCAATAGGTTTCTTATGTTAGAGGGTGAAGTAATAAAAGGTGATGTAATAAATTTAACACAACACAATAAAAAGCAAGTATCTATAATGAACAGACCACTGATGGAATTTGGAAGTTATTTAATCCCAGAGCCTCAGTCTTTGTCTGTAAAATAGTGCATTATTTGTAGTTTACAGGAGGATTTGAAACCCCCCTCCACCCTCAGCCCCGTGGCAGGCATCTGTGTGTACATATACATCAATAGAGAGAGAGCTGTGTCTTGTACACATGCATGTGCACGCACAGGTGTGCACTGTGCTTAGCTTGGCAGGTCGGGGCACTCATTCCTTTAAAGTCTCACTCCCTGTCATTTCTCTAAGTAGCTTTTACTTTCCTGAAGCCGTTGCTTCCATTTATACTCTGCCAAGTTAAACTTTTTTTTTTACCCCATCTTCCATATTTCTAGGACTGTCTTTTTGTCTTTTCTTACTCTCTCCTTCCCTCCTTTCTCATGGCTTCTGCTACTTTCTTCTCCCTCAGTCCTTCCCTCCTCTTTTAGCTACTTTGTTGCTTTGTATTTCAGCAATCATAATATTCTTAATATAAAAACCCTGTCTGCTTTGAGACTCAGTGTTAATCATGTTTATTAGCCTTCTCAATCTGCATGGATTCCACTCATGGTGGATGCTAATCCTCAGGGTTCTGCCCCTGGCCTGTGTTATTTCTTACTCTGTTCACAAGATTCTCACGTAGAGGTTCCTGTCTTCCTTCTTCTGCCCCAGCTGCAGCCCAGGAAGATCAGTCCACATGGTGAAGAATCGTTCTGTCAGATTCCGGTTTTACCCCATTGAGAAGCATTCTTTCGTTTCTTTCTCATGTGTTCTCCTTGCTTTAACAATTTGTTACATTATTCTTAAAAGCTCAGAGTTTTCTGAATTGACTATCTTTTCTGAGATTCGCCAGGACCTTGAGCTCAGCATTAAAATCTAACTCTTACCCTCTCCTTTTTCTTCTCTCATTCTTCACTCCTCCTCCTCCCCTCCCATCCATACACACATTTTTCTTTCTCAGTCTCAGCAGAACCACTGACCTGTGGTTATCTGTGATACTGAAAATCACCCTAGGCCCCTCCTTGCCCCTAGCCTCCTCAGTAGGTCTTGCTTATTGTACTTTCTAAGTAGCTCTCATCCCTTCCTCTATGCTTTTCTCCATCTTTTATAATCCAGCGTATGCATTGTCTCGTTATTAAAATAATCTCAGTGTTGATGTTTGTGAAATTTATGTCTAGGCGAAGGGATTTCACAGTATATAACCAAAAAAGCCACAAAAGAGTGATTTAAATGAAAAAAGTATTTTCCTGTCTGTAAAATAACTTTTAGAGGAAATAGATCTGGGCTCTCTCTCTTTTTTTTAGATTTATTGATTTATGCAAACAGAACTGGGGTACAGGCCAGAGGAGCAGGTGCCGTGAGAGGCTTCACCTGAGACAAAGTGGGGAACAGAACAGGCTGACTGAGAAGTACACTGCTGAGGGGAGCAGCGGGGTGTGGTGGTGGGGAGTCAGGGGAGGTCTGTGGTGCCATGTGAATCACCTCTGGGGCAGGGATCGAACTCACACTGAAGTGGCTTTAGCTTCTTAGTGCTGTGCTTTAACCCGCACCACCAGGGAGGGCCTAAATCTGGGTTCTTTGGCAACTCCAATCTCATCAGTGCCTCGGGCTGCTGCTTAGCTGTGCTCTGTCTTTGCTGGGTAGGAAGGAGAATTGCAGTCAAGGATTACTCAGAAGAGCATATTGTGCACTTCCCCCAGCTGCTTTAAAGAGACTTCCTCTAATGCTGCTGGCTTCTGCTCCTCTGTTATAGCCCTTTTTATCTGAAGGGAGGCTGAGAAAGGTTGTTTGATGGGGTGCATTGTCATTCCAGATATGAGGGGCTTTGGAAGGAAACGTGGGGTATCGACGTTGTTAGTAGTTTGCTCCTTCCCCTACCCCTCAGTAGACTCATGCCAGCCTTCACGTCATTGTGACATGCATCACTGTGTTATTTTTCAAATTGCACAATAGTTGTTTATCTTTTGCTTGTATATTTGTCTTTCCTACTATAAATACAAGAATTCTAATATTCTTTAAATTTTAGTGGGCTCAGAGCCTCGCATAGTCATTCTTTAATAATTGTTGAACAGAATGAACTGAATAAAGTAATAGAGAAGAAAAAGCAGTGTTTAACTTCCTAAGTATGAGTCTTAGGTTTAATGATGTCATTGCTGGTCTCAGATGTATTTTAGTTGAGTGACATTTCTCAAAAGGTAATGCAGTCACATTTTAGTGTGTAGATACTGGATTGGTTTGCTGGGCAAGCAATGATAGTACAAATAGCTCCTTTTTTAAAGTTATGACTTCACAGAAAGAAAAATAAAAGTAATATAATTCAGGTGAGTTTATTTTCCTTTACAGCCTCACTTTTGAAGATCAGAAACTCAATTTTGTGATCCATGTCTTTGTCCGATTTTTTTTTTTTTTTGGTAACTTTTTTCAGTTATTCTTATTTTAGTTTCATCAATTTGTGGATATTTTTCTGTTATACATAGATTATTTTGAAAGTTCTTCAAAACAGTATTTATAAATGGCTATTATAAAAGTATTAAGACTTAGAGTGATGTACATGTTTGGGATATTAATATTTTTCATTTTAGAATTATGCCCTTTTTTTTTTTGCTATTTTTTATTCCCTTGTTTTTTTTTTTAACTCGCTGCGCCACCAGGGAGGGCCCCCCTTTTTTTTTAAAGATTAATTTATTCATGCATAAAAACTGGGGTATAGGCCAGAAGTTCAGGGGCAGTGAGAGGATTCACTGGTGACAGTGGGGAGCAGAACAGGCTGACTCACAAAGTACACTGCTGAGGGGAGCAGTGGGTGAGACAGGAGAGATCTGCTGTGCCATGTGGGTCACCTCCTTAACGGGGGATCAAACTCATGCTGCAGTAGCTGCAGAGAGCTTCACAGTGCTATGCTTTTCAACCTTTTGCACCACCAGGGAGAGCCCTCCTTTGCTTACTAAGTGTTCATTAAACTTTACTATTGAAAGTATTGACAACTCATTCCTAGTAAAGCCTTATTATTTTCATAAAATGTAAGGTCCTTAACAAGACCACTGAAGGTAGGTTGGACACTCTGTCCCCTCAGGGCTTCCACAGATGAGCTGAATGTAAATGGAAGCATACGTACCTTGGAGGGGCATCAACCCGTTTTCCCCAAAGCTTAGTCATTTGAGTCCCCCTTTTAAGTTTCTTACATGTAGACATATTACCTATATAGCTAGTTACAAAGTTTTAAGAGGAAAGCTTTTTTTCTTAAACTAATTTGAAACCACAAACATTAATGAGAAACTGGCACCACTTATTATGAATAACTACTAAAGTGATAACAATATGTACCCGCCTTGCAATGCTGTGTGTCATA